GAATTAGGCTGTCTCCAGCCATGTATAGAGTGGTAATCATCAACATTAAAACAAAACAAATTATTCATCTAAAATTTATATATATACCTGATAAATATTTTAGAAAATTAAATATAATTATTAATTAGGTTGTTTATTACTTACATTTTCAAATATTCATTAATTTTTTTTGGATGATCACTTGCCAATTGTTTTTATAATTCTCAATAGTTTTGTAGCTGGTTGTAATCCCAATTCTAGACAAAGTGTCTATTGCAATTAAAGATGTTAGCCGAAATTATTTCACTTAGTAAATGATTGTCACTGAATCCGAAATGCCAAAATATTTTTACATAGTTGCCAAAATTAACTTTATTAATTGCTGAAATTATACTCAAAATTATTTGAACACTTTAACTCAATAGCCAAAATTCTGAGTAGTTTTTTTATGTCCATCATTATGAAAATATTGTAAATCTGAAATTGCCTGCCAAAATTGATTTTTTCAAAAACCATTTCAGCTAACATCTTTAATTCGAATGTCATGAATACAAACACTAACCATAACCATAATAATAAAAATATTAGTAGCAATGATTACATAGATATACAAACAATAATTTGTGAAATAGATCCTTATTTCAACAATCCCACATCTTGTATACATTTATGAAAATTTCACAAGAGGCTTAATTTCAAAAAAATATAATACATAGTTTTACATGTACATGTGTAAACTTGATAAGTTGGTCAATTGATAAGTTGGTTTACTCAATAAGTCAGCCAAAACTTTCACAACATTTTCTTAATATTTAAGTAATTTAATTTGATAAGTCAGTTTACTCAATAAGTTGGTCATATGAGCTCACCCCCACATGACTGACTTATTGAGTTTACATATGTATCAAACAATCAAAATCCAAAGGGAGGAAAACAGCTCTGGAATTGTTAAATATAACCCAGGAACTTTTCTTTGAAAAAATTTGAAGCCTAGGTTTGAGGAGTTCATTGAATGGAACATTCAATTGGGATATCAGATAAAAATAAAAAAAATTACAAACCAAAAAATTCTCAAGCTACTTCATCCAATTCTCAGAATGCTGATAAATGGGAAGAGTGGTGTCAGAATTTTATACTTTTTGGTGGTTGTTGTACATGAAAATGAAATTATGTGAATTCACAATTCACATATGTGAAATTCAAATTAGCCAATCAGAATTTCACCCCATTCCATAATATTTCAATTTCGCATACAATAGTGCTAAGTAGGAAAATTTTTGCCTTTAGCATGTTATCTTTTTTTTTTTAATTACTTAGATGGATTTATTTAAATATGTCTTTTTAAGTAAAGGTGGCAGGCTAGCTTTAAATTAACAATAGGTTAATTGGGTGGGATTACATGTAAAAAGATTTGTAAATATTTAATGATACATTAAATTTTATATAAATAAACATGGTTTCTAGGCCTCACTTTAGCACAAAAAAAAAAAACTGAATAGAGTTGCCTTCCGAAACTCATGAGTTTAGAACTATTCAAAATTAAAACCATTCTAAACTGGTTTAGAAAATGAGTCCAAATTCCTAAACTGTTCAAAACTCCTAAAATTCCAACTAACAAATAATTTTAATAAAATAAAAACCATTCATATCCAATGTCAAGTTGTTAGCCTTTCTAAAATATTATTAATTTTTATGTCCACATGAACAGCTTCATCTAATAATAATTTAGTACTAAGACAATCTCATGAAGGAGGTTTATAATTTGATCTGAGATTTTTTAACATGTTGATGAAAAAAGGGGTTTCAATTATTCTAAAGGGGATACCACAAACCACAAAAAACCTTTAAAATTGAACAATCTATAATTCCTGCATGATGAGTTGTTAATAAACTGCAATCCCATTTGGCATGCGAGTGTGAATACATTAAAGAAGAGATCAAAAAATATATATGTATATTGTTGCAGAAAGAGATGATGTAAGTGAATCTTTAAAAAATACAGCATATAAATCAAATACACAATCACTTGCTAATTTTTGGGATAAAGATGAGATATTATCAAAAGAACTGGCAAAACTTCAGTATTAGAGTTGCCTTTCTAAACTCTAACCTCTTTTCTAAACTAGTTTAGAAACCCTAAACTACTTTCAAAACTAACCCGAAACTCCTAAACTGTTTTCAAAACTCCCCTAAACTGGTTTTATGACATAAAATATAAATAACAACTTATTGTTTTACAAACCTTAAAAAATAAAAAAATCATTACCTTGAAAATTGATCACAATAGCAAGTTCTAACAACCTTAGTGGTACAGGTAAAAAATGCATTTCATGTTTAAATCTAGTTACTTCTAAATTTGGAGCATTTGGTAAAATATTACATCTGCACCTCTGTAGTAAAAAATGTTCTATATGAAACAAAAATATGGAATCAAACAGGGTTGGCGAATGTGTGGTCCATTGATGGTTCATTGATGGTCTATTGGGTCCATTAGTGTAACATTTTAACTATATTTAGTATTTTATTAATTGCAATGGACCAGCTCAAAATTCATCAGTTCTCAATGGACCAGTCAATCTGCCAACCCTGGAATCAAAGATCATACAGACTGCCCCACCAATCAACTTTTCAGAATTCACAAATTCCATTCCATACAAAATTAAAAAATATAAAAAAATATTGTACAGAATTGAAAGTTCTATGGAATCTCTACTGACTGGTTACAAAACTATTCAACTCAAACTTCCCCGAAACAAAGACACCAAAAAATATATGAAGTTATTTTAAGTTGATTGTATTTTGTTAAAAAAATCAATATCTTGCCAGGTTTCCATTATTTTATTCACCCTTTGTGGCATACTATTTATTACTCTATTAATTCTTTCTGGACTAATATTAAACCATTTCTATTTTAATGAACTGAATAGTCCTTCTTTTTAAATCTGACTATACATGCAGCCCAAATTGGTTTGGTGATTTTGATGGTCAAAATTATTTCAATTTTGATGGTAGAAAGTAGAAATTAATTACAGCACTCAATATTAAAAATATAAGTGTAACACCCCTTTATGACATGTGTAACACACTTTATGACAGTGTCAAAATATTTTGGGCTGCATGCATAATTCTGACATAAACTTTTAATGGTATATATTTCAACTGCACTTTTGGATCTATTTGGCTATTTATTTCTCTATATGAATAATTGGCCTTTTTTAGCCAATAATTTCTCCACATTTAAATCAGATAATTGAGTAGTAGCTTTGGGTATTTTAAATTTTCTTTAAAAAAATAAAATGTTGAAATTTAAAAAATGAATTATCTAATTTGTGATTTTTTTAAAATTATAACTTATTTGAGTATTTTTAAGACATCCCAACAATTAATTTACCCAATGTTCTAAAATTTTTATTCAATTGTTTTTAATTATTTTCAATGATAAACAAGTGTTCTTGTTATTATATTTTTAACCGGGAAGTGAGATTTTAAATGGTTAGATAACTTAATAGTTATAAATGACAAGTGTATACTAAATTAGAATTAAATTTTTTAGTACAGTACACAGTATGTATATATAAGGTAGGTACTGACTTTTTATATTATGTAAATTTTGTGCAATAATGGGAGGTTAAGTATGGTTATTTTCTATACCAAGTCACACGAAATTCCTCTTTTGAGGGCGTGTTGGATTACAGTATTGGTATATCAATTTTTAATACTGTAATATATGCGCAGATCATACCATACCATCTGCACGAACCATACCATATGTACTCATTTTTTACTAATTAGTGTAAACATGCGATCAAATACTTTTGTCTAGGGAGTGTATGTAAAATTTTCTTTAAGAAATTACATTTTTAATTATTGATGGGTGGGTTTAAACAATTTTTTTTATTAGTGATAAGGTTTCCAACAGGTTAACATGTGGATTTTATTTTTTACTGGATGACTGAAATTGTGATTTTTTAATGGTTTTGGTAATTATCAAAATATTATATAGCTTTTAAACAAATAATAATAAAATGTATTTTGGAACATTCTAAACATTTTCTATTAAGGTGAAAAGACATGTTTTATATATACATCTTATCTGGTGATTTTTAATTATATTAATATTTAATTAATTAGTTGCGGCTTACAGTTCTTCGCCCAACATGTAAAAATTTTTTAATAATACAGTTACAGAATTAAGCATATCATATATTAAAAGAGTACAGTACAAGATCTGTTCTGTTAACTAATATGCGTGCATTCTTTTCAAAAAAAAATTTATTTTATGAACTTAACAATTTATCTATTAGATTCACAAACTTCCAACAAGACAAAATAATTATTTTATTTGATAAATAAATAAAATTATATTGTAATAGATGGGTTTTTATTTTCGGAAATTATGTAAATGACACAATGTTAAAAGAAGAATCATTGAGCCAATCACTTGAATCTTTGTTTACAACATTCGTGAATATTTTTTAAATTATTTTGGATAGAGCATATTAACATTAATATTTTTTAAATAATTAAGATTTAATTATATTAATCTATTTACAAAAAAAAAAAAAAAAAAAATACTACCCATGAATATTTTTCCATATTAATATATATTAGAGAGTGTGTATTGTAAAATGAAGAAAACGCCAAAGGAAACTTTAGTGACAAGAATGTTGTAATTAAATATGTAAACGAAAAAATTAGTATATAACTAAATAATAATAATAATGATTAACAGTAATAGTAAGTGAATTTATTTATAGTATGTATGTATGTATGTATATACTAAAAAAATAAAACCTTTTTTTACAATTAAGGCTTGGAGCATAATAATTAAAAAAAATCTTTTTTTATTTCTTGGGAATATTACTATTATTTTTTTGAAAAGATAAAATAAAATAAAAAAACTTTAAATTTTCAATAATTATCATCATAGTAAAAATCACAGTCATTGCACTATATACTTAATAATAATATCCAATTATTTCTATACACACCATTATAATTTCTTTATACTCTTAATGCCTGTACAGTATCACCAAATACTACAGCTATCCACTCTGGACACTTAGTGCTCCAACTTAATTGACTTATTTCTGCTGGTGCTCTATAAGCCAAATAAGGATCTTGATGAAATTTGGGTGGTGACGAATCTCCCAGATCCCATACAATAACATGACAATCATCTCCACCACTACACAAACTATTTGATGAATTTGGTGACCAATTAACACAATTCACAGATGCCTTGTGACCAGCCAACTCTGCCACTAATGCACCTGGTGACCTAATATCTAATATTCTGACTTCTGATGAATCCATATGAAACGTGGCTATGTAAGTTGGAGCTATTTTATTGAAACATAAACGAAGCAGTTCATTGTTATTTGGTGGATTATACATTTTTGATGATAATGTAGTTTGAGGTGATGACGCTTCATAAAGTATGGTAGAATGTTCTAGTTTTCTATTATTAATAATGGATATTTGATGATTGATGATATAATTGATAATTAAATGATAATAGTAAAATCATTAGCAATATTAATACAACTGATCCATAATCTTTCATTAACTACCATACCTTAAATCAAACAATCTTACACTTCCATCAGCTCCAACACTAGCAAAAACATCAGTTGCATTTGTAAGAAATGCTACATCATAAACTTCTTTATCATGAGCTATCAATTGAGTTTTTGCTTGACCTGTTTCAACATTCCATACAGTACATGTTGTATCTATACTAGATGTGACTGCCAATGATGGATCCATTTCATTCCAATCAAATGATGTTAAAGGTGCTTTGAAGTCTGCCTTTTGCTATTAATAATAATAATATTATTATAGTTGTTAAGAATTATGAGATATAGATATGTTGATTATTTAAAAAGAATTATATTATTATTAATAAAAAATATTAATTAATAATTAAATAACAATATAATATATATATATCAATTATTCACATTTTTTAATTCTTGTCTTTCCACAAGTCTTTGCTGTTTGAATCCTATATGATGATGATTTGCTCCAATGGTATTCCCTACATTATTTCCACCAGCATCATCTATAATTTCCCATAATTTTAGATATTCACCAGTTGTTGCCAATAAATCAGGTGTTGATCCACCCTAAAAATTAAACATTTGAAGGAATAAATATTCAATAAAATATTTGATGAATGCTGAAATAAAATAAATATATATCTGTCTGTGTAAATATATTGTTATCCTATATTATATTATATTATATTATATTATATTATATTATATTATATTATATTACATAGATTCAGTTTAGAAATGTCTCTTCTGTGTAACTAACTCTCTTTTACAAACAGGGATATCTAATATATTTCTCCATATAAATCCTATAATTTATCATTTTATTATTATAATTACAAATACTGACTTTATATGGTTCCCAAAGTACTTTTGTTATAGGATATCGATGATCTGCTTCAGCTATTCTAACAAAATCTGATGCCATTGGACGTGGAAGATATGGATCATCATAGGCAAGTTCTGATAATGTAATTATTTCAATCTTTATATATACAGATAGATAATAGATAATAATATAATAAATGAATGATTAGTATCAATTATTCTCCACCGCAAACAAATACATATAAATTACCTTGTTTGAATATTCTTCAATAAAACTTCCTATTGCTAATCTAAAAGATTCATCACCAGGTCTTTTTGACCAATCTAATCCGTAAAGTGACCAAGGAGCTCTATATTCATACATTTCCTTTTTTAATGCTACTTTACCCTCTTGATGATGATGGTGGTGATGAGGGTAATGATGATGATGGTGATGAGGGTGATGATGTTGGTGATATAATTCGCCGTTAGTAGTACCATTAGCAATATTGTTAGGATTAGTAACATCATAGCCATTAATACATGGAGTTAAAGGTGGCGAGGTAGTTTGCTTTATGGGAATTAGAGAATTTTGGCGATAACTATTATAAGGAGTAACAGAAGAAGGCGGAGTATGAGTGTGTACAGTAGAAGCAGAAGAATGTGTTAACGATGGTGGTGGCGCATTGGAGTGTAAGTTATTATTAATATTGTTAGTGTAATGTTGTGGTAGAGATAAAGGTGGTAAAAGTGGTTGATGCGATGATGATGGCGGTACTAAAGGCGAGATTTGTTGTTGTTGTACTTGTTCTGATTTTATTGACGGTGATAATTGTGATGGTGATAAATGAGGCGGGAGTGGTGGTAGTAAAGGTGATAATTGTGGTTGCAATAGTAAAGGAGTTGATATTGACTGCTGCTGTTGTTGTGTACGATATGTAGTGGAAGTTAATGGAGGTGATAATGCCGGTGCGTTTGTTGTAATATTATTAATAGTGTTTGTTGTAATATTTGGATTAGTAGGAGTAATATTTGTTGAAGAAGAAGAACCATTAGCAGTAGAATTAGTAGAAGTCATTGGAAGAGGAAAAGAAGGTACAGTCGAAAATAATGCTTGAGATTGTCGTGGAGTAGGAGGATTTGGTTGCTGTTGACGAATCGAAGGGGATGATGTATTAATAGTAACAGGAGCTGACAATGATGTGTCAGTAGCATAATATGAATTATTATTTGTATTATTAATATTTGTATTTGGTGGCGAGTAAGAAGGAGTTCTCATTGTTGAAAGTGGATGAGTCATTATTTTTACTTGTAAAGTTGTTGTTGTTTTCAAGCTTTAGATCTTTTTGAGAATGTCTAAACAATATATACTTGTATATTTAAAAATGTAAACCTAAATCTTTCTGTAATTATGTTTGTCACTACTCTTCTTTTTTAAAAATTATATAAAGATTGGTTTGTCAAGTAATGCTACAGAAAAAAAAATTTTTTAAAAAAAAAAAATCAGATAAAAATTTTTACAAAAAATGAAATAACAAACATAAACAAATAAAATATTATAACACATATATTTTTAAAGGAGTATTATTATGCTCTGATAAAAAAATAAAAAATAAAAATATAAAAAAAATCGCGTTTTTTATAATTGTTAGAATATTTTAGACTATTAATTTAGACTATACAGGTAATAAATAAATATAAAAATAAAATTTAAAAAATGATATTAATTTTTTTTGATATTAATTGTATGTATATAAAAAATTAAAATTACTTTATCATCATATGCTCATATTAATTTTATATTAGTGTGCGATTGATTAGGTTGGTGATTAGGTTCGATTAGGATTGATGATTCATTGATTGATTGATTGATTAACGGATACCTTTGTTTTTTTTGCAATATTTTTTATTGCAAGCTGTCAAAAAGTCTTTACTTTTTGTGTCATTATTATCTTTCCTCACATATATATTTACATATATTTACATATTGTCAATCCATAATAATCATTATTATTATTATGATCAGATGAAATTAGTTGTTTGATGTGTGTGTAACACTACTTCATCATCGCATTTCTTCAATTATTAGTATTAGGTTTTTAATTTCTTACAGTCAGAGCTTACCAGAATGTTACACGTAATTTATCAAAAAATTTTAATAGGCTTTAAACTGCAAGTTTAAAGAATAATTAAATACGATGTAATAATATACACCGCTTTTTTAATTCCTTGTATCAATTGCAAATCTTTCAATAATCACATAACGGGTTCTGGATTGCTATTGCTATTACTATATTAGATCTTTGTGTAAATACATAATTTTTATAAATCGGATAAAATAGTGTCCATAGTTTCGTGAGAAATTAGTAAATGTACACACCACCTTAAAATCATCTCCTTCTCCATGAGTTTTTTCATGAATGCCAAATTTCTTAATTATTTTCACATTTATAATTAAAAATTATAATCCTTATTATTATTATTACTATTATTATTAATGGTAATTATTAATTACACTTGCTTGGTTATTAATATTAATTTGTTGGTAGTGATAATTAGATTATTGCTATCGTCTTTATTAATTATTATCTTTATTCGTAATAAATACTATTGTTACTGCTGGTATTATTTGAACATTATTATTGCTGCCACTGCCATCAATAATATCGAATCTTCTATGTTGTTTTATGTATTGTTGAATTATTTAAACAGAAAAAGAATAAATAAAATGTTATTATATTATTATTTTTGTTAGCTGACTTTTCTATAATAAAAAAAATTAAAGGATAAAGTTAAAAAGCATTATTCATTTCGTAAAATCGTAAGTTTTTTCCAAATTAGGAAATGGAAATCAGTCCCATATGGATTACACAATCAATATATTTAATATATTTTTATTATTATATGATTGCTTAACTTTTTATCAACTAAAAAAACTTTTTCGTTGAAATTCATAAACATCATTTTTTTCAATTAGCTGTTAAGTTATTAAAATAAAGCAATGATTTTCTGAAAATGTCAAATTTTTGACATGGAACAAATTATTTATGGCAATTGTTTGTAAAACAATGAACTAATTCATTAATTCAGTGATTGATAACAAAAAAAAAATTTTTTTTGAAAACTATTTTTAGTAAAAAAAAAAGTTCTTTGATGAAGTTTCAAAAATATCTGATATAGCTAGCATGTTAATAATTGTAATTGAAGTTTTCTTAATTAGGAAAGCTTATTTATGGGGTTAAATTTATATTAAATTCGCACACACACGTATATAATGTATAAGATATCGATACACGTGTTAATGTGAATAGTAATAGAAAGATATTAAATGAACTTGTCGTTTGAATGAATTTTTAGAATTTTTCCCATGAACAAAAACTAAAAAAATTTAAATTAAAAAAAAAAAAATTTATACACTAAGGAGCCACACAATTTTCTTTCATAATTATTACATTATCTGCCTGTTTAACTAAATTTAATTAAGAAGATAACTCTCCCAAAAGAAACACAAATTTAATAATCATATAAACAAACAGATCTTAATTCTTGTATTTAATGGACACACAAATTTTAACAATCACTGTATTTATTATTTACATAATTTTTATCTAATTTATCGGCATAAAAATTAATTTGTCGAAAAAAAAACCACTTATCATTATTATATGAGGCAAAACCAGAAACAGTGCCACATAAAATTTGGCGGTTTTCCACAATAAATTGTATAACTTAACTTTTTTTTATATTTACTTTACATTATAATAACTACAGGGGTTTTTTGCTCAATCTTATTGGTCATCGAGCCTTATCATTTAATATTAACGATTCTTTATCATGCCATTTGCTACCCCAATATTAACAAATTTAAATTCACGTGTAACGTACCATTTGGCTTTTTTTGTTTTCATTTTCACGTTATTAACACAGGTAGGTAGGTGTATGAACTAGGCAAAATGTCTTCTGCTGCCGTCACAATAGGGTTCAGCATTACGTCTATAAGCCATAGCCGTCCGTTTACAAATTAAAAAATAAAAAAAGTTAGGATACAGATAAATTTGCGGAAAAATTAGGTCAAATTGGTTTGTCACCAAAACTATTTTGAAGTGGTGAAAGTCAAAGGTAAAATTAAAAGTTATATGTCAAAACTAAATCAAAAGTCAAATCTAGTTTCGACTTATGGCGTGATGATACTTTTTTTACTGGTTCTAGAACAACTTGCAAACTTTTTCGATAACAAAATCATATAATTCATAGTTAGCCACTTGATTTCGATAGAATGTTAATGCTATATCAGTCGAACGATTTTGTCACGCAAAACGATTTTCAAGTGTTTTTTCTACCAAATTTGAAATTTGACGCCTAGATTTTTCAATCATTCTTCTGGAAAACAATTAGGGGAGATTAGAATTAAAGTTTATATCACATTACCGTATTCGGAAGTTAATTCTCTCTTTTTTGGTCATGATCTCTTGCCCACGCTTTTGCCTATTTCAATCACGTATTTACTAAATTTGGAAGTCGATTCTAGAAAAAATTCGACCTCTTTGTCGATTATAATTAATTATATGAGTTAGCATAGCAATAGTGTTGGAAAATGACAATTTATAACCACATGACTGGTCATAAGTCATTTGTCATTAAGCAATATGATTGGCGCAGATCAAATATTTTTATTTTAATATCCCCCCCAGATGTCAACAATGAAATAGTTTTATTGTATATGTGAACTTGTTCATCTCTTAGGCTGACCAGTAAAGTACATATGTTTGTGAAAATAGCCAACAATATAAACAGCTTCACCAGAAACTGTTTTAAATGCTTCATTTTCTTTAAATGGGGCATACTACAACAAAACCAGACAAAGTGAACATTGATATTACCAAGAATTTCAGGGATCAAAATTTAGTCATTTGTAATGGGATCATAGTTAACAGTTTATAATATCCATTTGTTATCTTAAATTATATATAGAACTATCCCTATATAAAAATAATTAGTATGAGGCTCATTTACTATGGAATCCAAGAATTATAGTACTATCAGAAGTATTTTAAAAAGGAACAAGGTGAAAAAATTGCTCTTTATATTTTCAAAATAAATGATACTCAGGCACTTGAAGCTTATCTAAGAAAAGAAAGGATTATCTATGAAATTTACCAAGAAGAAAGAAAAATAATAAATATTAGAAAAAGAAAGCAGGCAGGATGAGGATACACAATTACAAAACAAAGACAAAAGTCTCTGGACAAACAAATCTAACAAACTTACTGTCTATTTTTATCTTCTTGATGAGATTCCTGAACCAATACTAATGTTCTACTCCAACCATAATTTCAGGAGTCCTTTTTTATGATTGAGACTGACTCTTTTTTTTTTGTTAAAACTATTTAAGAATTCTTTTCTTTAATTACAAGGAATATAGTTGTAGAAAATGCAAGTGTATGAACCAAGTTACTTATTTACCAGGTAATTCTTATGTTTGGCATATGGCTGGTCATACTTTGCCCCCAAATTACAACCCATAACTATACCTATTGACCTAAGTCCAAATATCAACATACACTCGGTGGACAAAAGTTTGCATCCAAAATTTCTTTTGTATTTATTTCAAAATTATGCTAATTAAAATATTGTAATCTTTATATCATTTGAAAGCTCTTGTTCTTAATAATATGTTCGTGATATTAAATTATGAAGTTTTGTTGTGAAAAAGGACAAAAAATAAAAAATAAAAAATAATGTAAAAATCGTGAAAATGTTGATCATTTTTTGTTTTAAAACAATTTTGAAAAAAATGGGAAAGAACCGCGAATTGACTGTTTCTGAAAGATCACAAATTATTGGCCTTTTAAAAGGTGGTCATACAAGAAAAGAAAATAGTGACATTCTTGGTTTTCCACTTTCAACTGTTAAAAGTACAATTCAGTGTTATGGAAGTTCCAAAATACCCTTAAGCAAAAAAAGAAGTGGCTGACCCAGATTGCTTGGTGGTAATGAACAAAGTGTTTTGAAAGAAATTGTTAAAACTAATAATAGAGCTGCAGCTAGTGCTATACAAAATTCTCTTAATGAAGCCACTGGTATAAATGTTTCCGTTAGAATGATTTATAGAAATTTGGATCAAATTGGTATTCATTCTCATAATGCAGTGTTAAAACCACTTCTTAATGAAAAGCAATGCCAAAATCGACTTGAGTGGTGTATGAATTGGCGAGATTGGACAATAAGACAATGGAGGACTGTCATATGGAGTGATGAAAGTCGATTCACTCTTTTTGGGAATGATGGACCAACAAAAGTATGGCATGAGAAGGGAACTCATAACAATATTGAAAATTTGGCTCCTTCTGTAAAACATGGTGGAGGTGGAATTATGGTTTGGGGTTGCTTCACAGCTAAAGGATTGGGACCATTAGTAAGAGTAGAAGGAAAAATGAACCATAGGGATTATATAAATATTTTAGAAAATCAATTGCTTCCATTCGTTCAAGAAAAATTTTCTAGAAAAAGTTACAAATTTCAGGATGATAACACGCCTGTCCACATGGTTAAAAATGTTAAAAAATGGATATCTGAGAAAAAGTTAAAGATTCTGGAAGATTGGCCTTCTCGATCTCCAGACCTTAATCCCATTGAACATCTATGGGATGAACTTGGTAGAAGATTAAAGCAATGTCCTGAACATCCAAAAAATAAAGATGAATTGGAACTTTTTTTGAGAGAGGAATGGCAACAAATTCCTTGTGAAAAATACTTAAATTTAATTGACAGTATGCCCCGAAGGGTTGAAGACTGCATTGCCAATAATGGTTGGCCCACTAGATATTAAATAATATTTTTTTGAAATAAAGAATACACTTTTATCTATTAACATTTTGTTATTTTTACATCATTTTTTATTTTTTATTTTTTGTCCTTTTTCATAACAAAACTTCATAATTTAATATCATGAACATATTATTAAGAACAAGAGCTTTCGAATGATATAGAGATTACAATATTTTAATTAGTATAATTTTGAAATAAATTCAAAAGAAATTTTGGACACAAACTTTTGTCCACTGAGTGTACATCTGGTTTTCCTGGAGCCTTCAATAATTCTTTTATCTTACAACCCAAAGTCTAGATAAAAGACCCTTAAGTTGGTGTATCCATGTATATTCCAAAGGTGTCCCCTTGACAATATGTTTAATAATTAAAGGGTTCCAACTAATAATTAAAGGTTGGCTGACCATTGATCATTAGAAAGGCTGAGAATCAATCATATTGCTTTAGTAGTTAATTACAGTCAAAGGTAAGGTTATCAAGATTGTTATTAACTTGGTCTAAAACCAAGTGCATTTATACCTCTTGAGGCAGTATAAATAATGTGATTTGTGCTATTATACTCTCCAATAATATGCTTATTATACATGAAGTTGAAACTATTTCAACCATTTGCAGATCTGGTCAAAATAGGGTCGAAATAAGGTTGAAACTTATTTTTACTATGTAGTTGCCTCAAGTCAAACCATTTTGACTTCATGTATAATGCTTATTAATCAATTACTAATTCTAAATAAATATTTACATCAAATGAGCAATACATGAAATACTGGGGTGTGCAATATTCTAAGAAAATCAAAACTAATTAATGTCATATATTGATTGGTTATATGTGATTTTTTTGTGATCTGCAAATCACATACAGGGTTTTTGAAGAACATTGTAAACATATTGTTTTCAAAACACAACTCCTCCTCCATTTTCAAAGATATAGGCATTAAATTTCCATGAAATGTAGTATATGCATTATACTTTAGAGCCATGGAAAGATTTAATGGATTAAAAATGCCAGTGGTGTAAAAAAACTCATTCGAAATACAGAAAATTTTTCTTTATCATAATACTTCTATCTATTGCAACTTTCGAAAAAATAGTAGAAATAAAGATTCTCTCTCCATAGCACTGTTCTACAAATGTATTCTGATTAAAACCTCTAATTATTTTATAAATGTAACGATTTTTCAGAAGCCTTAGTGATTGAAAGTTCATAATATATACTAATAAAACACTAATAAAACATGCTGTTTTCAAACCACTACTTGCCCTCCATTTTCAAATATATGGACACCAAATTAGCATGCAGGATAGTATAAGTAATATAGATTAGAGCTATGGAAAGATTTAATGATGTAAAAATATCAATAGTGTAAAAAGGCTCATTTGAAACATGGAAAATTTCTTCTTTATTGTAATACTTTTATCTATTGCAACTTCCAAAAAAAATTCTATGAAATAAAGATTCTCTCCATAGCATTGTTCTACAAATGCATCCTGATTAAAAACCACCAACAATTTTATAAATGTAACAATTTTCCAGAAGCCTTAGCAATTGAAAGTTCATATTACTAATAAACACTAATAACATTAATTCGTGTTCCGTGAAACAAGTAGAGAAAATTAATAGTCGATTTTGGTGCTAAATTTTGCTGATCATTAATTGATTTTTTCCGAAGCCCAAGTTTTAGTCCTAAGGTAACCTTCCTATATATGGATTTAGAAACAACAATTATACTTGTAATACGTTCATAAAATCTCAAGGATTTAATATATCAATTTTTAAAAAATTTTTCCTATGAATTATTTTTACTTCTATATGACGCCAAGCTGGATTCCCACTTAAATTTATTATATAAATTCGAAATTTAAAAAATTTTATGTATATAAATTTAAAAGAAATTTTTTTATTGAAGGTATATATTTTTTTTTAAATCTAATACATATATTATATAAATTTTTTAAATAATAAAGTAAATTTATAGGAGTTTTTCAATTACTGACTCCAAGTGTTGTTTTGGCATTTTTCTCACGTAACTGTGCTGAATATCTAGTTATCCATCCTTGTATAGTTGGTAATTTTGGTAAATCTGAATTCTCAATTTCTCCTTCTTCTACTTTTGATTTCAAAACATCCAACATTTCTTGAGGACTCATTCGGTAACTCTTATCAATATTTCCTGTCAAAAAACATTGTTCTAAAATGAGAATGATTCTTTTTGGCATACGTTTACCACCACCCTTCTTCCCATATTTTTGGACTTCTTTCAATGCCCAACCACCTACTAGTGGAAACTCAGATGATTCTAATGGGCTGTGATATGTAAAGCATTTAATTATATCTATTATTATTATAAAACAAAAAAATATTATTTGTCTAATCTTACCTTATTTCTTGTTCCTGATGAACCATGCTTCGATTTCTCAAAGGCAAGCCTAAAACTAGGTTAGTAAAATTTTACAACATTTAAAAATATCATGAACATATATTATTACCTTCCACATTTGCTAAAGTTTCTTGACTCAATTCTTTATCCAACATTTCTATTAGCTTTTGCCTTTTATTTTGATTATCATATACAATTCCTCGATTTGTCAACTCATTTTTTAATTCTGGCAATGCTAATCTTTTTGGACAGATTCCTAATATTTCAACAAAATTTTTAGAAATGAATTTGGGTTATTCAAGTGATATACTTTAATTACCTGATGCATGTGGGAGAGGTATTTTCCAAGGAGATTTTGGTTTAGTTGGTTCAGAAACTTGGGGTGATGGTTGACTAATCTCATTTTTTGTAATATTTTGAATTTGTGCAGGAGAAAATGTTGTCCACCTTCCAATATTTGGAATTCCTCGTGCTTGAATATATCCTGCATTTTCACCTTCTGTGGGCCAATTCCATTCAAACCAATTAGATATTCCAGGAATTGTCATAGTTTTTTCTTTTTCTTTTTTATTATCTAAGTATAATTTTATTGTTTTTTTGGTGTAATTAGCTAATATAAATATTTATTAACTTCATCTAATAACACTTTATATTTTTTTTTATCTTTTATAATTAAAAATTTACCACGATTGAGCTCAATATGAGCAACTGAAGTTCCAGCAGTATTTTCAATAGCTGAAGTAATATCATTTCCTTCCTGAATTTCTCCACCAACTCGAACATATTGTTTAATTGCAAGTGATATCTAATAAATCACCATTAGAAATATTTAAAGGTAATGAATTCTTTTCTTACTTTATAATTCAAACCTGAGCATGGTGAGAATCCACTGCTGTTTTGGCTTCTCCTGCTTCCAAGAATATCCATTTTTTTACATGAATTCCATACCACTCATTCCATTTACTCATTATAATCATGAGTTCTGAGTTATGATAGTGTGGGCCATTATCAGAGATTATACTTACCCATTTTGGCTTTATTTCCAAATTTTCTATTACAGAATGCAATGAAGATGCAGTAAACCATGCATCCTGACGAGCATCAGTAGACCAATGATCTATTGCTTCCACATTGATTTCAGAACTTTCATTGGATTTGGTATACAACAAGACTGTATGTAAGGTCCAGCCTTTTTTTCCAAAAAAATCTTGTTTTGTCTCACGTGAGGTTTTGGGTAGTATTTTCATTTTATAGTCTACTACTAATACTGCCCCATCTTCATCCAGATCTAAAAGTGAAGCATTAAATTGTGCATTCAAATAGACTTTCCTGGTCTGGTGTGCAATATAATAAAGCAAGCGATCTTGATATTCTTGGATTTCATCATAATAAGTATTCAGATTTGTTTTTAAATCTTCAAAAAGCTTGAATACTTCTTGACATTTATTGCAGGTATGGGTATGAGGAACATTACACTCACCAAAGGCATATAATAGGCAATGATTTATGCACAAGTCATGGGAAGTTATTCCATGATCTGTAACCACTAAATGTTCTTCATATTGTTTTTTTAAGTATCGTTGTAATGATTGGCAACGTAAGTGGAAGGCATTCTTTAATTTAATTGAAATATTATTTAGTGGATTATTATATATCACATTTCATATATTTTAATTAATACCTGTAATTCCATATTATTTATTTTTTCTTTTATCAGGTTCATAATGTTTTCAAATGTTTCATATCCATATGAGCTACATATGGAACACAAGCCCCCAAGATCTTCACGATAAACATATTGATTACCCATTAGCTTGGTGTAGAAAGTTGTTCTTTTAATGCCATTGGGAAAACTATATTTAAATTTTTCCCATAATGCCCTTTTTGTATTTTTTAGGTAAACTACTGGTTCTCCTGTTTTGGCATCAGTTTTATAAGAGCTCATTATAACATGGGCTTTATCTTGAAAAAAAGAATTGAATTGATTTTCTTGTTCATAAGTAATTTTTTTGATTTTTCTAATAGGTCTTTCAGTTACTGCACAGCCAGGACCATTAATTCGTGCATATTTTTTTGCTTCATTAATTGTATTAGAAGCCACCTATTATAATTATAAAAATAAATTTTAATTGATGATTGATTTTTATATCCTAATACTTACTTTCAATTTCTCTGTCAAAATTTTATATGGAAATTTTTCTGCTATTATAGATAGAATTCTTCTTTTTCCATTATATCCCTTTGCATTAGCTTGCAATGATTGTTGAAAACTATCCCAAAAAACATCACCATCACTACAATACTGTTTAGGAATTGGTTTCAAAAATGCTGAATCATATAAAAACTGTAAATTATTGCAATCAGCTTCTGGATTGCTGGATTTTGTCCAAAATTCATGCTACCAGCATAAATAATAGTGAGTAATAGAAATTTATTTCAAGCATGAAAAATACATTGTTTATATATGACTTACTGGTGATGCACCTTTATTAAAAGGTGTTATATTTGTACATCCAGCATGAGTCAACATTGTCCTCCAAGCTCGCATTTCTCTTTCATTAAATGAATGAGTTGATGGATATATTGCTTTTAAAGCAGCAGTAATTTCAATTATGGTCTTCGTTTCATGGTACCATTTAGTAAAAAATTCATTCCATGGTGTTGAAGCTAATGTGAATCGTCGTAAATGATATTCCCATAGAGGTTTCATTTTTTCTTCTATAATCCATTCCTCAGGCAGACATTTAGGTACACGAAATTTTTGAATATAAGATTGAACTTGAGGGCTTGTTATACCAAATAAATCTATTCCTTTATGCTGTGAAAGTATGCCAACTTTCTCCCATACATTATTAGGACTATTACCAATATATGTGAACACCAAATTATAATTTTGATACATTTTTACACTGGAGTTCTTCTCATTAATTTCTTGAACAAATAAAGTTTTTATTTTTTTGGCTCCAATCAAATAAACAAAAGATGATTTGAAACCTGGACCTGTATTATCTAGATGATCCTTTGTAAATGCACCTATTCCATATACAAATAATTTTATGTTTGAAAACATACAATTAAATGGATAGAAAGTTATGTCTGCAAGAATTTGTTCATTAATTTTTGATTTATTATGTCCCATTATAAGAGGACCAGAAAATTTTGATTTACTGCTAAAAAGTTCCTGATAAGTGTTAGTTATAGCAGCTGAAGAATTACTAAAAACTTCACTTTTTTTACCATTAACTTCACATATATATCCAGGTTGGTATAATGAGCCTTCACAGCCTTGAACTACAGTAATAAAAAATCGTGTCTCATTAAGAATAACCATTGTTTCCATGCCAATACGAATAGGATATAAAATAGAAATATTGTCAATATCATTTGAATTATTGCTTTGTCTAGTTTCCCACCAATTTTGAGAAAAGTCACCAAAATGTAAATTCTCTTTTAAAGAGCCAACTGAAATTAGAGAAACAGGATAATCTTTACTTCTACTCATTATTTTAAATTTTTTTACTTAATATATGAAAAAATGTTATTAAGAAAAGTGAGATTCTCAAATTTTTCAAAAATACTAATATTTATTATCACCAGAAAATTTAATGATGATCGGCAAATTTCACTACTTGAGTCACGTATTACGAATTAAACTATTAAATTAGTTAGGTTTTGGACAAAGAATATCTTTAAATGGCTCATCTACATGCTGGCGAATTTTTTTATACAAATAATTTTTTCTATCATCTGATAATGGAGCAATCTCAAGTATATTTAATGGAGTATTTTTATCAAAATTAGTATTTTTTAGAAGTTTGAAAGAAATTTCTTCCCCACCAGATTTTTTTGAAACATAAACTTTTCCAATATCTTCTAAACTACCACTAAATTGAAAATGGTAATATTTTCTTATACTTGGTAAAGCTCTAAAATTATCATTTAATAAAGAACTAAAATCATGCCACCTCCAACCTAAGCCATCATTATATCTAATTGACTTGTTATTTCTAGATGATTCATTTATAACATTTTCAACATCATCAACAGTATTTATGTGACTATCTTTGTATAATTTTTTAATGGATCCAAAATAAGCATCACAGATGAATTTTGTATGCCCAGGGATCATAAAATTTATGTAAATATTATCATACCACCCTAACATTATTATCCATGACCAGAACCAGAGTGATAGATTGTTTTTATTCTGTCCAGAACAATTATCACATGTAACATAGAGAGATTTTTTATTAACATTTCCAATTTTTAAAAGAAAATGATAAACCATGTTTAAGGTTGTGTTAGCTCCTTTTGGTACATCTTTTGGTGATTCATCATCCTCTCCTATGGTAAAATTTAGCTGATGGTTATCACCTTCATCAGTTTTACATACACCAAAAAGATGTATTAAAAAAGGTAACTTGAAATAAATTGATCCAACTTGTTGAGGAGAATAGGGAGCTACAACACTTTGTGCCCAATCATAGCAGATGTGTGTTATTGATGAATCATTTTTATATTTATTAATTACTTGATTATAGTGTTCTCTTTCAACTTTTGCAGCTAGAAGATGCTTATCATATTCAAACTTGATATTTTCTTATCATCTTGATCCTTTGTTGCTTTTAAATTTGATCTAAATTCTTCGCAAGTATCACAAAGATCACTTCCAGATGTTAGAAATTTAATGTGTGGTGTCAATCATTGCCAAAGATTGTAAAATGTTTCATATGCAATAATTTTGGTAGATTCATCATGTTATAAATAAAAATGTCTATGAAATTCTTTATAGACTGTAGTATATCTTTGATCAGTTGGTAAATAGATATACGGTTCTGAATCATCTCTGAGTTTCATTGGAGAAGGTAAACCATGTATATTTGAATATTGCAATAGAAATTGTTTAAATATATTTGCTAAATCAAGATCAACTAAGGCTAGTGAATTAACTTTAGGAACATTTTTAATATTGCCATGGACACAATCCTCTAAACCATTTGTTTTTAATCTTGCAAAGCAAGTAATTTGTCTTTATGAATACCACACAATTTTAAAAAAACTGGATGGCAAATGGGTATTGATGAGTTAAATTGATATTTATAATTATGGGTGGTTTTATCATCTCCACTCTTTAATTTATATTTAAAAACCATTAGTTGTGTTTTAATACAAAGATCTAATTCTTTACTTTCCAATTCTTTTAGTTCCATGTATCTTTCAAAAAAATTTTTGAACCCAATTTTTTCAAAACAAATTCTAGATTTTTTTCGACAATTACAGTTTGATGAATTGTTAAAAAATAGTTTCAAATCATAGACTGTTTCAAGTACCAATTCATTTGGTTCATATTCTTCTAATCCTAATTCAGATAACTCAATATCTTGAAAAATTAAATTTTCATGGGTTTTCATGATGACATCTGGGGTTTGATGATTTTCTGAAGTCAAATCATCTATAGTCTCACTATTAAGCAAATCTTCAGGTGATTCAATATTTTCTTCCGAATTGTTAGGAATTGAATAAAAAGACATAGTGGAAATTACAGATGATATTTTTTTAATAAAATAATATTTGGATTTTTACTTGTCTTTAAAATTTTTTACACTATTTATAAAGATTTTGCTTAATTTAATTTATTTATAAATATAAGAATTATGAAAATTCGGCCGTTTTATTTTTTAAAAATAGTAACAAATTTTGGGGTTTAAAATAACCAATTTTCGTGTAACAAATTTTCAGGAGTCATTTTCTCGAAAAATTTATTATGTTTCTCAGCCGGTTTTTGCTAGAAAACCCCCCATATATAAAACTTAATATCTAAATCGCAGACAAATGTTTAATATATAACTCTTAATTTTTCATTACTTCATATAAATACAAAGGACCCGAAGCCTTTGCAAAATAGTCTGTATTTTGATTTTTCATTCACATATTTAGCAATTAAAATTGGTAATTATTTTTTAAGGGTAGGCTCCATGCAATAAGGTTACACATATGATAATTAGTGACAATTGTGGGATTTTAAATTTTTTAAAAAACTTGTGACTAGTACAAGTCTTTAACCAATCAAACAAAATTTGTGAAAAAAACTTCCTTGGTTTTATTAAATATGGTATTTATTATGAAAACATTTTTTGTACTTTTATATTAAGTAAAAAAAATTTTTTGGTTGCTCATCTTTTTTGCATTCTGCTCATTCTGCCTACAGGAGGGAACGTACTGGGAACACAAAATTAACAGGAGGGAACACAAAAATTTAACCCATGCAATTTTGTTGA